CGCTTTGAATGAAAACGGTCAGAGTGAAAATGACGATTGTTTTGTCCTCCGCCTAAAAGACTTATACGATAAACACGGACTTGAAATTTTGCATTTTTTGAACATAGGACTGGGTTTAATATTGTTAGTTGAAAAATGAATTTTGCTTGGAGGAAACAAACCTCTCGAGCACAACTATTCTGTCAGTTTCAGAAAGCTTTATTTCATTTTTTCTTCGTTAGTAGTTTTCAATTAGACTGTTCTGCTCTAGATAATGAATGAAATAGTACTTCACAAATGATGCGAAATACGCAGATTCAACTTAGTTTGGCGTGCAGTCGATTGAGGTCTGAGCCTATCAATAATTCTTCCATTTAAAGGCTTAAATTTAGAGCGACCAAACTGTCGCATTAAAGCTACTGTTAGCTTATGGTTGTTTAACGATCGCTACTTTGCATCTGCAATATACCAACGCATATATTTTTCATCGCAAGTGTTGGGCAGTGTCGGTACAAAACAGTCAATTACAGATTATTCTGGGAAAATGTGAACACAAACGGAAAATCGATCCAGTTCAAAACAGTTGGATAGACAGTCTCAAGTGATAGACATTTTAAAAAGTTGATAGGCCGAGAGTTTTTCTTCGTTTGAAAAACATAAACAACCTAAAAGTGACCGCTGCAGTCGCGCCATCCTTTTGGGGAGGTTGCCAAGAAAAGGTGAGACGCTTCACCGAAATTAGAGCCATTTATAACGACTTAAAACTGACAGTCAGTTTACTTGTCTTCGACTGTTTCAAATAAATTTAGAATGTTTTGTACAGGACTGTCTTTTGATCATAATTATGATTTTTTGGACTATTTGTATTGGAATGTTTGGTATATGCAGTGTGTGGCATAGTAATATTTAGTGTTAAGCTAATACTGTCCGAGTAATGTTTAAATGATGGAAACGGCGCCACCGAACTATAAAAAACATTATAAAACTGTCTCAGCACAATTTATCTAATGTACAAAGTGAAATCCTTTGCTCGTCGTAACATAATAACGATAGCAATCTGCTCGCTTCAGTTGAATTTGGAGCAAATTGATTTTCCGCTCGCGCTCAAAAGGTACGAAAATTATCTCGCGTTAGTGGTCCCAACTCTAATTATACTAGTCAAAGTAGTCACAAAATTACTCCCCCATAACTCTACGATCACAATTACCAAAGAGCCCCATAACCAATTGATCACCTGTAAATTATCGTATTACAATTGAGTGTCCATCTATCTCCTTCGGATGATATGAAAAGTTCTTTAAAATAGCGCTTATTTCTTCAGGTACATCAAACATTGAAGAATGGGAATATTATGAGAAGTGGGAATGAAGAGACAGCCGCTGTGTGGTTTCAAGGGGAGGTGCTTTTGCAGTACTTATGTTCGTATCCTGGGTCGCATTCGCACTCATCGGTCTTTGGATTGCAATTTCCATTTCCATAGCAGTTACTGAAGCAATTAATTTATTTGTGCGGGGCAAACGACCATACAAATTAGGAACATTTCTTTCAGCTTAACGTAATCGACACGACCACAGCTACCCGCATCCAGTTTCAAGCGTTAATAATCGATTATATTACGATTTTGGTACCAGTCTCACTAAAATTGAGAAACAATCGATTTTAATCAATTAATAATCGATCATAATCACTCTTTTTAAAATCAAATTACAATCAATTATAACCAATGATAATCGATTATAATCGATTATTTAATCGTCTATTTTTCGATACAATTATAATCGATTATAATTGATTATAACCCATTATTTTTTTTCATATTTCTTTTTCATTAGTTTTGCACATCAATCCATTATAATCGATTATAATTGATTATAATCCCTTTTTTTGTCCAATTTTGTCTTCGAAGTTGCATCTAAATAGCTTATATTTTATGCTTTTTGTGGACATTGGTTTCTATGAAAAATGAGAAAAGTATTTTCAAAGTTTTCCAATTAATACAAAAATATAAGTTTTTTTTTCATTTCTTCCCCATTAGGGTTGTTTTGTGATGCATATTTTAAGCTTTTTTAAACACCAAAACATCAGCAAATTGATTCAGTCTCATGATTGATTCGGAAAATTTATTTTTCATATACCGCGAGAACTTTTCCACTCATATGAAAGGATCTCTATGAAACTTTTCTTTCGTGGTTAAAATTTGTGTTCAGATGAACCAAAGTGTTCAAGAGATCTCTCTTTTAGAGATTTTCTTATTGACGCAAAATTAATAACCCATAAGATATAATTCGAATATAGGAAAATTTTGGCAAAATAAGATATTATAATCGATTATTATCGATTATAATTGATTTTAAGGGTTTTTAGAAAGAACTGTAATCAATTATAATCGGTTATAAAAGATTATAATCTCTTGGAAAATATCACGATTATAATCAATTATAAATCACTTAAGGACCTAATTTTGGTAATTATAAACAATTATAATTGTCAAAAAATCATCATAATAATCCGTTATAATCGATTACTTACGCCTAAACTTGGATGCGTGTAGAATAATTTTGAAATCTATTTAAAGTAATGACCATTTCGGTTTTTATGAAACAATAATTTGATTTGTATGAGCAAATGACCATAAAAAATCGAAAACATTTTTGCTGAGAGCGATTGGAACGGCATTTTCTACAAGAATTTTTTAAACGGTTTAATTGATAGCCAAAAAAGTTACAACGAAGATCATTGCCATGACCATATCTAGATGAAAAATTTATTGTAACGAAGTAACCAATGCTCAAGGTATTATTTTTACATGGTTTTAGGTACCATAAAACAAACGCTAAATTTTGTTCGCACATTAGTTTTGTGTGTAAAATAATTGATAACGAAGCGTATAACGTAAATTTTCTCATCACATTAGTTTTGTCGCGGATTCCGCAACGAGCGAATATAGCTTGTTCTTCCGGATTCCGCTAATGCAAGCGGTTTCACGGGTTCCACTCACAAATTGCGGGTTCCGCTTACAATATGCGAGTTCCGCTTATAGTTGGGATTCCACGACAGTGTAATTGTCTTTATTCATGTATATATTAATATTTGTTTGTGGATTCCACAAAATCTTCAAAATTCCGCAAATTTGTTGCTGATTCCGCAAGGTCGTCACGAGAGGATTTGGCACGAGAGAATAAGTGCGCGTGAATCAGAGTTTCCCGCTTAGTTTACTATTACGAATTGTCACTTGTTATGAATTATCGCCTGTTACGATTTTTTACCCGTTACGAATTCTCGCCTCACAAAATTTAACATAAGACTACAATGAGGTTATTAATGAGCAAAACTACATTGTTTTAGAGTTAATGGCGCAAGTCACCAGGAAATGACTCGAAAAAAATAAGGCCTTTGATTGCAGTACATCGTACCAAGTGTAGTTTTATTTTTATCTCAAAAGACAAAATACTCAGATTTGAGACTATACTTTTCAGGCATCCGGAATTATAAAAAAATCTAGGCAACCGTGCTAGATCATGAATTTAAAAGACGTTATCAACCAAAAGGTTAGGCTGTTTAGTTAGTTACTAATGTTCCCATAAACTATCAGTTGGAGGTAAAAACCAGAAGTGTGAAAAAAGTCCAGACACTTAATATGCCATTTTTAAATGCAAAAAGAAACCTTTTTCAGTTTAATTATTAATGCTTTTTCAAACTACACTTTTCTCGCATATTTCTTTAGTAGCGAAGATTAAACAAAACTAATTAAAAGTTTACAGCCCCCCCCCGAATTTAGACTTTTTAGTTGTCTCTAATATGCTGGGAGGGCTGCTACCAGGTTGAGTCATTTCAGATGGCTACTAACTATGGGCACATTGTAAGTCCTGGAATCTCGGAAATGCGCTTGCATTCTTTTTCGTGGCAAAAACTATCTTCAGCACACCACGTACCATCTTGCACATAGGCCAGATCTTCCATAACATCTTCGGATTCGAATAGAGAATCGATTGAGAAGCACTTGATTGACTGTCCAAAGTGTGTGCGGACGCGCTTCCTTACCTCTCTTTTCGTTGCCGGTTTGACTCCCTTTTCGAACGAGCATTGTAGTTTTCCGCACCTGATTAAATTTTTATTTTAAACCCAAAAGCAGATTTAGAAAAACAATAGCGGGATGCTGCCGCCTTCCCTCCCCTCGCCGATTCGAACGCCCCCCGTCTTTCTCTTAAGAACGTCCGCTGTTTCATTTTTGCCACATATTTTGACCTCATGACACTAAAATTCAAAATTTGCGCCCGTTTATAATTAATAAAGGAGGGGTTATTGCGCAGTCGAAGGTCATTTTGGAATCAGGTTTACCTGGAAAAATCTGAAAAACACATGTTTGGTAAAGTTTGGCAAATTGTGTGTCTGCATGTTTTAGAAGAGCTTAGACACAGTAGTTAAAAACAGAGTAATTACTCCATTGAAACTATTTAAATGCAATTATGGCCACCCGGAGAGCCGATTAAGGAGCGATGGCGGTACGACTAGTTTGATTACTTTTCGTTAGCTGCGGAGCAGGGGGTGTAGTCTTCGTGATAATTGGAACCGCAGTTTCCCCACAAGTTCCCCTTTCTGTTTTTGCTCCAGCATCCCGTGTCTGCGGAATCATTTCGCATACCATTGGGCTCGAATATTCTAAACATCAAAAAAACTCAACCTTTTTCCAGTCGCTTGAGTCATTTTTTTGAAATGGGAAATCGCCATGTTTAATTATAAATTTCAACGCATCTGAATAATGGAATAATGTCTTGAATTGCTTATTTTTCGTTGTTCATCGAAACAAATATAGCACGAAGCTTGATAATTTACTCTAAAGTTAGTCTTCAACGGAAGTTCAGAATTTCCTATTACTTGAACTGAGTTTTTCAAATTGAGCAGATAACGTTATAATGATTCCGCTTCTCAGATTCGATGAAGATTGATCAGAATATCAAAAATTAGATGATATTTTGCATGATTTTTCGAATTTTTATTTGAACTGCTTTTTTATGTGAACTTTACTGAAGACATTGGGAATAAACTGCTCGACAACTTCCGACATAGCAGTGTCCCTGCGCCCCATCATCTGCTCTGCAACTTAAGCCCGATCTCTTGAAGTCGTCATTCGGACACTCGGCATTTTTTCCATTACACTGTTCGGCTTTGTCGCAGTCGTTGCCCTCTGCCCGACAGACGAAGCCAGAACTTCGGACTTGACAGTTGTCGGGGTCGCAACACAGATCCGCAGCAGAACAGGCGGCACCTATATATGAAGAAGTCAACCACTGAGCAGATAATTGAATTTATTTTTGAACAGACTGGAAATGAACTTTTTTAAATTGATCGTGCTCGCTAATAATCGTTTATAACAGTGAGGGAGAAAGATTTCATCCATTTCATCGCAGCCGGTCCCACCTTGAGGAGGCAAATGACACTGGCACCCCTCTAACCATGGCCGAAGCGGGTTTCGAACCAACGACCCTAGTATAAAAGAAGGCCGAGCGTATTACCCTGTCAGCCATGGGTGATTGGAAGGTACTTATTTGTTCAAAGTTGGATCATCCATTCAATCGGATTCAATCAGAATTGAGAATCAATTATTTCGGGCATGATTCTTGGGAGAGCGTAGATGTTAATTAATAGTGGGCTGGAAGGTTTATTGTTAGTTTGTGTCAGTTGGGAAGAGTTTTAAATTGAAGATGGAGGAGTAATCATCCCACCTGCGACTAGGCTGCAGTTGTTGGCATGACAGCAGGGGTCATCACACCTGGCCGCAATCCCGCAATCACACTCCTCCCCATTCTCCCTATTGACTATGTAGTCCCCGCAGTAACCCGTTTCTATATGGTACGAGGGCTCATTGTGCAGACACATCGAGTTACCTGCTCAAATTGGTTGATTTTTAAATTTTTTCAAAAAAATTTCTCGTCCAATTATAGAGCAAGTGAAGCATTTTATTGAGCTATAAGTAAGCTTCAATAACCAATTTCACAGCACGAAAGTTCCAAAAAAAGTAACTTGAAAACAAATGTCTTTTTTTGAAAAAAAAACTGCTTTCGTTTTAGTTATGAACTTTGAAGATATAGTTGTAATCAATTGGAGCCATGATTAATAATTTCAACCTTAGTTTTTCCCGCTCTTTCTCCCAACACGCACAAAAACTGAAACAAGCTCGGAAGAAAAAATAAGGATAGCCGTTTACTGTGCAAGTAGCACAGCACAGAGTGTTCCGATCATAGTCGTAAAAAACAATTTCTGCGTGATGTGATAAATAGATCAGAAATCAGAACAGAAAAAACACTAAAATTTAGGCATAGATGACAGCCATAGCAGAATAGGCAAACTGGAAAACAGCTTTTTTGTAGAAATTTACAAGAAAAATGAAAACAGTATAAAAAATCAAGTTCTTTGAAACTTTGTTTTCAATTTTATTCTGCAGCATTTCCTTGAGTTTCTGATTTATAAATTGGCGCAAAGTTTTTGATTTATAAATTGGCGCAAAATTTTCAAAAATTAACTTGATTAAATTAGTATTGTACCGCTTAATTCAAGCTTAAATAATCCAATAGGTAGCCCCCCCCCCCCCCAGGCATTCCACCCCTTGCCCACCCAAAGGGCTACCCCTTAGTAATATTTTGTCATATCGATTTTTGGGCAACGGACTATTTTTTTAAAGCTCTGTTGAACTTCCAAAACGTAGGTTAAGTTAAGTTTAATTGAATACGGCAACTGAATGGTATCAAAACCTAATTTTACTGCACATGAGTGTTTTAGCGTATGCCAGACTATAGCGATCGCAAGGTCACAGCAACAGGTCCCCAGACAGAAAAAATCAAACTTATCTAAACTTACATGAACTCAAAACTGGTCCCTATATCAGCTCCTTGAGCGCCAATAATAATAATTTTGAGGGGGGAGCGAGCGCGCTAACACGTCGGACAAAATTGGTAAAAATTTTCCAAAAGTTGCGTAAAAATGCTTTTTTGGCCACTTTTTTTTCAATAATTTGCATGAGGCGCTTCAGAGTGATTTTTGAGAGTTCAGAAAAAAGTCTATTTAGATGATTAAAGAAATGTTTGAAAATCAGCTCGACCCGGAACGAAAAAATGTAAAAATACATATTTGTTTTCAGCTAGTGTGGTCGAAACCTTCTGTGCTACTTGCGCAGGAACCTACTTCACTGGGGTCTATTGGGCGATAACGGGGTCAAATTTCTGGGGGGGGGGTCGATGAAACCGCCCCTAATATTGTTCCACCTCCCTCCCCAATTTTCCTTTCTCCTCTGATCTTATTGCCGCTTATGCTAAAGGGTTTTGTATAGCAGAAGAATCTGCAACAAAATAAATATATTCCATCTACCGTGCTCCATGAATTTTTCAATGGATGCCTGCTGACAGTGTGAGAATTTCTTGGCGGGCAATTTTTTTGCGAATGCATCCATGATACACAAGTCTTCTTTAGAGCAATAACAGGGGTCACTCTTATTGGTCGGGTTATGGCCCAATCCAAAGTTATGTCCAACTTCGTGAGCCAGAGTTCCAGCTACATGGGGCAGGCTATGTATTGCATTTTTCACCCAGCCTGCTGAAACATTTAAATTGCGTTTAACTTAAACACCACATTCATGGGCGTGCTTTTTTCAAAGAAACTTAAACACTTTTTATTCCAATGAATTCACTTAAAAATAAGCTTTGTTTTTTTTGCTTGTGATCAATGTGATTTTGAACTTATGCCATCGGCCAGTAAACGATGTGAGAACAGCTTTTTTAACAATAACAGTTTTGCACCCAAAATTTCAATTATAATAATTTTTTTTTTGAAAAAAAATGGCTTTTTTCACTTACTAAATAAATGTACTTTTAAACGGCATCGGTAATTACACTTTTTTCTTGTAAGCAAATTTTCTACACTTTTTAAAGAAAAGAAACTTGCTTTAATATGGAACCTCGATAACTTTCAGGTCCCTTCTCAAATGATTTGGAGGGAATGCGCACTTTGGGAACAAAATATCTATGAATTAATTTCCGGACTTTGTTTTCCTTCGAAAGTTTTGAGAAAATCTTGAATTATGGGACCATCGTATGTCTATTTAATTTTTGTTGTTGTCGGCTGACTTCCAACGCACGGATTTTTTCTTCAAAGCAATATTTGTTTCAATTTAATCAGTTTTTGCGAAAACAGAGAGTAGTAGTTTTATAGCTCAACCTTTTCTCTGACAAAGTTTTAATGTTAGCTCAACTGGCATCTTTCCAAGTACTTTCAGCTATTTGTCCCTCTGTTAATGATTTTTAATGCCTATCAAATGATATTTGTGTTTATTGGCAAATTGTTTTTTTTTTGAAATTCATCAACTTCCTCGAATAGTTTTGTGGCTAAAAATTCTCGTAATGTTCTCGAATTGATTTTTTTAAAAAAAACGACTCCATTTTATGTATGCTAGCTTGCAATTCGCAGTTTGTATTGTATCGCAAGCTTTGCAAAGGCATTTTTTTGCCTCTTGCAATTATTTTGGATATCTCAATATTTGTAAGCAAATCACAGTTCACTGATTATCTTTGTTTGTTTTGATTTTTTTTTGATAAAACTTAACCAGTGGGACTAGTTTCACCAGTTGTGTATAACTTTGTTTTCAATCCTGGCGAAAATTACCCTGGCGAATCGAACCAAAGTTGTAATCCGCGTTTTCTGAACACAGTAAAAACAAACATACAAGTTTTTTATTGCAATTCAAATGACGTTTTTTTGTGGCGTCTAATTTATTGTGAAAAACACCCGAAAAAAAGTTAATAAATAATCGAGGTTTCTGCAATTTGCAGAAGATCTGTAAAAATTAAGAGGCTTGACTAAGACTAGTCCATTTTTTAAAAAGTTAATGTGGTCGGACCATTTCTGGTTGTCAAGTTTTTCCAAAGAGTATTTTTTTACAGTTTTAATTTCTGTGCCAGTTTTTACTTATTTTGAAGGGGAGTGGATCGGTTAAAAATTTGGTCGGTTTTTTTCCCAAAAAAATCACAAGCATTTTTCAGCATGATATAGTTACTTTTGTGTTTTAAGCTTAGAAAATATATTTTAGTTGTCCGCGCTAAAAAATTAAAGGCACTTAGCAAAGATCGTGTAATCGATCCCCTGTCATGGAAATGATAGTGTATGAGGACGAGCTCTCAATTGACCTCTAGCTTCAGGTCTACCACAGCCTGACGGTTTACTGCTGAAATATTGTTACCACTTGAAAGCTCTAGACGCAAAAAAAACGGTCTTGCGTCGCAAAAAACAGCTTCGCTCAACAAAATAACTCAGTCGAGAATGTGGGGAAACGGATTATGCTTAAACAGGCTGGATAGACTTTAATATATCCTCTGCGTACCGCAGAAACTACAATTACTCTTATTAAAAGCCGCGTCACCACAACACCTCCCTGAAGAAAAAAGTTATAAATCAGCCATTGCAGCCAAACTTTGAAAACCACATACCTGCCCAATAATTAGAGCATTGTGTGCCCGTATAAGCCAGACCAATATAGCCCGGAGTTTTTGGCAAGTCACGCACTATTAAAAGAACAAAGTTGTCGTGGTCGGGAAATTGCTGCAGGTTTTTTTTGTGGTAATCTGTGAAGTTTCGCAGCATATAAATTGCGTCTGCGGTCTCGTTCCATGTTGGGTCCGACTCTGCAGTGGCGAAGGTGTGAACATCTACCAAGGAAAGATGGAGGTTGATGTTTTTCAGGCCGGCGAAGAAGAAGTCGGCTAAGTGCACAATCTCAATATCTTTATCCAGAAGCTAATCCAAAAAGCAAACCTTCATTATATATTCAACAATAATAAAGATAATCAAAACTCTGTCAATAATTGCTGTTTCAGCCATTAGTAGACAACATGAGTAATCTCAGGGCTTTGATCAAAATTTTATTCCCCAATAAATGCTTTAGGCTCGGGGATATAATATAACAACAAATTGTTTGCCGTGTAGGTCCATATTCATCAAATTAATTTTATTTTAAAAAAATTATCTTTGACATTTGCCGAGGAATTGTAACTCAAAACTTGGTTGTAAAAGAGAAATGTAAATTGGTTATTAGTGAGATAGTTGTTTTTAGAACAAGTTAATCAGATACACGGTATCAATTTAACATAAATGATGAAATGTCTTTTCGACAGAGAATTATCACAAGAAAAAAGCAACATCCAACTTTGATGTAGATAAACAAAACAGTGACCGCGTTCAACGCGGTAACTCCACATAGACCTCCACTGACCTTGGTCATAGCCTAATTACATAAGATACTGCAAAGATGCTGCAAAAGAACACGTTAATTACAAGGTACCGAAGGTCACCTCTTGACAATCTAAAAAATACCCGATCTAAGAGATCGTCTTTAGACAAAAATGTATGTTTCAGATATTTTTGACCTTTTATCCTCTTTATAATAAATTGTTATTGAAAAATTAATTCAAATTTAGAAAGCAATTTCAGCTAAACGCATTGAGACTTTTAAGAAGCTTTGACAGATTTTGATTCTGAGTTTCATAGTTTATTTGATTATGTCGTTTCATATATTCACTCTATTTGACGTATCTTTGAATGTTTTCTTTAAAAATAAAATTACACTCCAAAATATTCATTTTTAGATCATTCCTGGAGTTATTCAACGACTTAGGGGAAAATTAATTGAAGTAAGAATTATATGAAAACTAACATCTTGCTCGGAGGGTCCAAACGCTTCGTACCAATCAAAGCCATGGAATAACATGAGTTCCACGTAGCTCCTTTCCGGTGCATGTCTTCTGGATCTGCTGGACACCTCTGGAAGCTCCAATATTTTGTCCTCCGGGTCAAGCGAGACAAAATCTTGATCAATCGCGCCACCAACTATTTCAGGAGCAATCAAACTTATCCTCAATTTATCATTTTAAGTAAAAACGCATGATATTTGTTAGTTATGGGCTTTTGCGTAATATTAAAAAATCTTTGAAAATAAACATCAGTTATTTTAACTACAAGGTGAAATCCAAACTTTGATCTTACAAGGTAAGTTTAATTCGTACCATCTTGGTCTTGCAAGTCCTTCCGCATATGTTCTTCTGAGAACATTATCCACTTGCCTTCATGGTCATTCGTGTGCAGTGTGTAGACTTTTCCATTCAACAAAACTAGTCCAGAAAGTTCTGGAACATTCTGACCTTCTTTGTCGCAATACTTGATTCGCACTGGACTGTGGACGTCAGTTTGTTCATCTTTTGAAATGTGACCTTGATAGAGACATTTCGTCACTGAAGATTTCAGGTGAGGGCTGTGCAGGTTTCCTCTTTGAGTCAGAAAAAAACCGATGTCGCCAATTTCGGTATCGTCAGTGGTCAAAAACATCACATTCGAACCAATATCGCCACCGGGCTCCATTTTCACAGAAGTAATTGTGACCCAAGACTCAAGGGTGTCCATCAAATTGTCTGCGCTCGTCAGCGGCAGTAAGAAAAGATTAATTTGCATGATCAAAAGTAGAATCATTTTGACGGTGTTTTGGGTAATGCAGAAATGAAAAAGTTTCTGTCGAGAAATTATGTTTTTGACGTCAAAAATTAACTGGTATATCTTGTAAATTATTTTTTTTCCTGCTGAGTAGTCTTTTTATTGGTAGTTTTTTTGTAAAAACTTTCTTTTGAAATTATGATTTAATTATTGTGCAAAAAATTAATAGTTACTGAACCACGAACTAAAAAAAAGAAAAGTGATCTTTTTTGTTTCATCGTCAAATCCACTTGAATTACAGTATGTACAACATGCAGACGTGTCTTCTAGTTTTTTGTCGGGATATTTTTAGTACAACTGGCGTTAAACTGAAAAAAACCAAGCCGGCACGGCAAGAAAAGTCGAGAAGAAACAGCAGAAGAAAAAAAAGCTTCAACGCAATTAAAACTGATTTGACCAAACTATTCGCCCGATTTTTGTAGATGACGGGATATTTGTGCTCTTGTGATTTTTGAACAACTTTTTTGATATCATTCAACAGGTTTTTTTTTTTTTAAAAAAAACAGTTTTTTTTATGAAAATTCCATAATTTTTTTTAAAAAAACGAACACTACTCCTTAAAACTTTCTAATTTTGCCCTGATACGATCAGTTATGTATTGACTTTTTTCGTTTTATGTCCAAATATATGAGCAAAAACGTTTCGGCGATGTGCAGCCAGACTGGTTCATCCGGCAAAAGGGAAAACCAGCTTAAGACAATTTATCCACATAAAAAAGGAATAACATACGTGCTGTTCATCTTTTCACCGAGGGCCGCTGTCGCGACTTTGTTTAGGACTAGCATTCAACTTTTTCAGCTACTTTTCTGGGCTGGGTCATGTTGCGTCTTGAACATGCAACTTTTTGTCGGAGAGGATGTTTAATTGCCAAATGGGAAAAGCTGCTATACCACTGAGAGCATTTAACACATAAGAAACTCAAACCACAAGGCATTTACAGATCTTTTACTTGGAAATCTAAGATGAAAACTTATTAAAAAAATTCAAGTTATAGAGCAAACAACCAGCACAAATTCATTGTAGAAAATTCTAGAGGGGTTGGGCAGTAGAATATGGCGTAGCATGTGTTTTTTTCCTCCTAATTTTAGATACTTTCAGAAACTTTGGTAAGGCCTTGTGCCATGTGTGGTACCAAATTAAAAGTCGCCTGAAAAGGCAGTCTGATTTGGAGTGCAGTAGAAATAATTTAAAAAAATTTTCTCGGTGTCCAAAAAAAACTGTTCTAAAAAAGAAGCAAAAAATTCTAATTAAATTTTGAAAAGTTTTTTTTCCAGACATCTTATAAATTTCTATAAACTTCCAACTTGTTTTCCTTGGTTGCATTTCATAATAACTACAATAACATTTGATGGAAAGGATATTTTTGGTTGTTGCTGTCTGAACAACTGTGTTTTTATAATAAAATGTAGTAGGGGACAGCGAAATTCCTGGCAACGGAGCAGGTTAAAATTAAAAACTAGCAGATGCAAAATTTCTGGACGCAAAGCGAATCACAAGGAAGATTGAATGAAGAAAAAGTAAGAGCTGAGATTCAGGTGCTCTCTTGACCTTCAAGTAAATATTTTTAGCCTGAAATTTTGGTTTCAGTTTTGCATTGATTTTAGCGTATCGGAAAGGAAACGTTTGTTTCGTGAAGATTACTTCCAGTAATGTCATGACTTAAGTTCACTATTCGACAATCAGGAATACTGATAATCCATTTGGCTTTAATTAAAAGAATGGGTATAGCAAATAGTGGCGTAGTTGTCTTCGTATGCGTTTTGGTAGTTTCTTCTGTTGTACCTGTCTGCTCTGTGGACTTCTCTCAACAACAGCTTATCAAATCATCCTCCCCAAAAATTATTGTTAGTCGCAAAAGTATCGATTTGGAATCTAAAGTTGATATTAAATATTATGCTTTCAATCCAATTTAGATGGATCAACCAAAAACTCACCGTATCCTGACGGCATAATAAAATAAAAAACTGCAAAAAAACTCAGTTACTGACAACATCGACGAAACAAATCTGGAATTTTGTAAAGTAACCGGTGTAGTATCTGCAGTAACTCAAAAAGTTTTCTACACCGTTGGGACGTTTCACTGGAAATATTTCCCAGTCTAGAAGTCCAATGGTGCTTCACGTGGATTTTATGCTGATTTTTAGTATGAAAGGTTTCAAGACCTTTTTGATCAACGTAAGATTACAGTGAACCACTAAGAAAACGAATTGCATTCAGCTGAAAGATTTAGTAAAAATGTTGAAATGATCAAAAAAATCAGTGAACAAGCGAGTATGCTCAAAGGAAAAAAATGATGTCGGGGTCTGGTTCACCAATCCTAGTTTTTGGAGATCTCCCGATCTAGAAAGGGGAGTCGACATTCGACATAAAACTGCTTATTTTGAATTCAAACTATGTAGTTTAGTTCCTGATATGTGCTTTTTGTAGATCAGCAATCATGGAGAAAGATTCAAAAGCTGACAAAAAGTCAAACTGAATAACATGTTAACAAGACATCAACAATTGAATTTCAGCAATTCTTATTTAAAAGTTCTGCTATATAACAACTGTTTGTACTGGATTTTGCTGAAACCTGTGAAATGTCATGTTGAAATAATAGTTTAAAACGGAGCTTGAATGTTAAAGAAGAAAAAGATTCAAGAGTTTCGAACAAAAAAAAACTTACACGTTGATTAAAAGTCGAGTGGAACTTCCAATAGTAAATGTTTTGTTTGATGTCTTAAATATTTTTAGGCTGATATGTTGTTAAAATCTTGCTTATTTAAACTGATTTGCTTACGGGTCTTCTGCATCCCCTTTTTCAAAAGAGAACACAGTCTTACGCCCCTACGTCCTGAAAGACAAAATTGAAAAAAGTCATAGCTCAAAATTTAGTATCACAACAACTTCGTGCTTGAGTCAACGGGAATTGACCCAAGTTCAGCGACTTAGTAGCCGCTCGATGAATGTAACTGATAACTTATTTAGCGCCGGCAGTTTTACCGCTGGACGTGCTTTCCAGAAATTGAACATTTTTCGAGACAACTTTATGACATTTTTGCTAATTGTCATTTTTTGACTTATTGGCTTTCGTTTTTGTTTAACCTCTTGGCTGCTTACTGGCAATGCTATGTTTTCGTGGTACTGCAAGGCTGCCAAGCTCGGTTTTGCCTTTGTATTTTAGCCCAATGACTGCGGTTATCAAAACCCTGGTGGCAGATAGGTTTACAGCGCAGTTTCACTTATCAATCAAACTAATTAACTGAAAAAACTTGTCAATACTTTTTTTGTTATATTTATGATAGTTGTTGTCCTGAAAAATCAAATGAATAGAATTAATTTCTAATCAGTGATGTTGCTGATGGTTGTTTTGTGGTATGAAATGACCAAATCATTTTGAAGAAAAAGTTTCCAAATAGTTCTTCAACTGAATATGTTGCTTTTTCATAACTAAATTTAAACTATTTTTGTGACATCTGTTTTTGCAAGCACGACAACGCTTATTAATAGTATATTCATTTTTAATTGTTTTCTATAATACTTTGCCGCCTTGACTGTTCAAAGACCAACTTCTAGCTTGTTCCTTGATAATGATTAAAGTCGCTTGTCATAGAAAATTTAAATAATTTTGAAGCAAATGTTTTCAAATGGTTCTTCAATTGAATATGTTGCCTTCTTCATAACTAAATTTAAACTATTTTTGTGACATCTGTTTTTGCAAGCACGACAACGCTAATTAATAGTATAGTCATTTTCAATTGTTTTCTTTAATACTTTGCCGCCTTGACAATCCAAAGACCAACTTTTAACTTGTTCCTTTATAATGATTAAAGTCGCGTGTCATAGAAAATTTAAATAAATTTGAAGCAAATGTTTTCAAATGGTTCTTCAATTGAATATGTTGCCTTCTTCATAATTAATTTTAAACTATTTTTGTGACATCTGTTTTTGCAAGCACGACAACGCTAATTAATAGTATATTAAATTTTAGTTGTTTTCTATAATACTTTGCCGCCTTAACAATCCAAAGACCAACTTCTAGCTTGTTCCTTGATAATGATTAAAGTCGCGTGTCGTAGAAAATCTAAATAAATTTGAAGCAAATGTTTTCAAATGGTTCTTCAACTGAAAATGTTGCCTTCTTCATAACTAAATTTAAACAATTTTTGTGCCAAGTGTTTTGCAAGCACTATAACGCAGTAACGCAGACCAAAATTAATTTTAGTTTCCATTTTTACTTCGCCGCTTGGACAATTCTAAGACCAACTTCAAGTCACTTAAACGCGAGTGCTTTGGAATGATTCTCAATTTAATTATAGTACGTTTTTCATCGCTGAATTTAAACCTTTTTTTTTTTTCGTGAGAACAATTTAGTAAACCATATTTTGCTGAACAAAATTAGTACAAAAATTTTGCTTAAAAATTTCGGCCTGGAAGTTTTGATTGGCACTGTTGGTTGCCACGTGGCGTGAACAGTTTTTGTTGGCAGCATACCTATATATTTCTTGAAAACTTCGCCGGTACAGCTTTTCATTCTGAAATCATAAAAACTTCAACATAGTTGCAGATCAGTTGTTTAAACACGGTGAGACTCAATTTGTTTTTTTTTGAAGTCGTATTACGCTTGAGGGTATAACTTATAACTGCGCGACTTAAAATTGCTTTTCGACCGCGGCGTTTCAGTCGAAAAACTGAATTTGCTCGACTTTCAAACTCGAAACATAAGTCGAGCACCTCAACCCGGTAAGCAACGAATCGTAAGGTATTTTTTTTCCAGTAAACAACTTTTCGAACCAAATCCTTGAATAAGTTTCTCATATCTTTATGATCTCAGGACTTAAGGTCTCAAGTCACTTAAAACTAAAAACCAATTTTTAATTATGCAGAAACTG